TAGCGCAACCCCTTGGCCAACCCAAGGTGTCCCCAAGTCAGCCGCTGCTGAAACTGATCAGGGGCTGATTCCAGGAAGCCTGGGGCAGAGCAGCTCTACCTCGGGCTTCCTGTAGTCAGTCGCTGGTCAGTTTCAGCAGCGGCTGAATCTGGACGCCAGTTCCGACTAACATACAGATTCAACTTAAGAACAAACCTACAGTCCCTATCTTGTACGTAACCCGGGGACTGCCTGTATAAGTAATATAATCTCTTGTTAACAAAAGATGTATTTGGTTTCAAACCAACATGTTTTAATGGTTACACCAACTAAGGAAAACAAATATTTCTTTAGAAAAGTAACTACAGTACAAATGCAAAGCAATTTATAATAAAGTATTTAAATCAAGGTTTCCTGTTTACTAATTTAGATCATGCTCAAAATGGGCTGAATAAAATAAGTCCACTCTGCACTAAATTCACAATTCATTTTTTCCAATATTTCAGATTCCTTTCTCTCTTTACTATATGGCATGCCCATGCCATTACCTCAGTTTATCATTGTGCAATTACTTTCCACTGTCTTATTCAAACTAGAAAGTGAAAGAGGCTAAGGTGGAATTGCAAATAAATACTGACTGTCCAGGGCATATTATTAGAGTACAGATGAGCCAATTTATATTGGACACTTGTTATTGAAATAATGAAATAAATTTCCATTAAAATTACACGGATAAGTACACGCTCTATATCTTGCAACACTTTGCTCAGGTCTCTAAGACAGAATCTTACGCTGCTACAAGAAGAGATAAAACTCATTTTCTTTATGCCTGGGATGTGCAGGTAATTAATTGCCTTTGGCATTTGCCAACGTAAGAAAGAAGCAGCCTTAGAAGTTTCAGTTAATTAAATCGGCGCTTGTTAAAGATTGTTTATTACTAACAATTACTCAAATTGTACCTTGCTGAAGAAGTGTCAATACAGATACATGGCTGAATGAAGGTCAGCCTATTCCAAAAGGCAGTGAGGATTATAGATAGTATATGACAGGGGTTGGGAACCTATGGTTTGCAAGCCATATATGGCTCACAGTTTGAGTTCAGCCCCCCCTCACAATGGGGGGCCCATGCTGGCGATCCAACCTCACGCCGCTCGCAAGACTGGAGCCAGCACCGGTGGAGAAAGGAGGGTGGAGAAAGCCCAGAGCCTCGCTGTGCGATTGGGGAAGAAGCGGAGCCTTAGAAGGCTTTGCCTCTGCGCACTCCCCTGCCTCCTCCCTCAACTGGAGGAACAAAGCAGCACACAGACACACTTCCTGCAGGCTTTTCCAACTGCTTCATTGCTCAGAATCCAGCCAATGGAGCAGCAGG